ATGTATACTGTGTAACTATTCTAGAAGTGCTTCAGCACTATAAACGCATTTAACCCTCATAGCTGGAACTGTCATTACCTCCCAGCTGAGGCGATGGAAGGACAGGGAGATTAAGTGGCCTGTATAAGGTCATCCTCACTAGGCAGCGGTAGAGTCGGGGCTTGGACTCAGTAGTGTGGTCTCGAGTTCCGAGCCCCTGCTGCCCGCTCCCTGCCCGGGTAGGGGAGGGCCACAGAAGGAGCCAGGAGTTACAGGTCGGCTGATGCGGAGAGGAGGGACCTTAAATTTCTGACCTAGATTCAAGTCTAAAGGCCACTTAGTCAAAGACGAGACCTTGGGCGGGTTTCTTAATTGTTTTGAGTCCCAGTTTTCCCAGCGCTGAAATACAGACAACATCTGTGTGACAGGGCGGTCCTCAGAGTTGAATAAGATAACGTGCATGGAGCTCCTTTTCTAGTTGTTTTTCGTCACGTGTATTTTTTCTTCAATCTGTATGTCCTGCAAATCAGCCTCCCCTCTTCTGTGAGACAGGCAGGTAGAAGAAAGTGAAGGGAGTATAAATAACGCATGCGCAGCGTGGCCCCTGCAGAACCGTTGTGTCTCCCAGAGCCTTCCTTCCCGTGCGGGGCCGTCCCCGGAGGCTGGCTGACTCTTTTCATTCCGCCGGCCTCAGCTCCTCCATGCTGGTGGAGCAGGACGTGTCCCGTGCCTCTGCTCGGGCCTCCCGCCTCCCGCCCCGGCTGGCCTTGCAGACGTCCCAACGGCCCTGAACTCTTGCCTTTGCTTCTTCGCGGTGCTTGTCTGCATTCTCTTTGTGGCCTCTTTCTCCTGCCCATCTAGTTAGTCACGCTGTGGACCATCTGACCGACGGCAGAGATAATCGCTCTTGAGACTGGGCTAATTGAGGAGAGACAGGAGCTCTGGCGTGCCAGGGTCCAGCCCACCATTTCACAAGCACAAGATGGAGGAGATGTGCTGTAGTAACACCGGGGGTAAAATCAGCTTTGCGGGTTTAGGGCCAGGCCAGCGCCGTCTGCATCGGCCTGTGCCGTGGCTGCCTATAACTGTTCCCCGTAAGCGACATTAATAGCCCAGGGATGGTCTGCCCGTCCCTGCAGGGCTCAGACAAGTGCTCTGATCATTACAGCTATTACTCTGGAAGGTTCCCCAAGGAGTCCCAGTGACTTCTGAGGATGACCAGAGAAGAGACTCAAGACCATGTCCCCGAGGAACCTTGGAAGGGATGGGAACGTTTGCGTAGCTGGAAGGACAGAAGGCCTGGTGCAGGGCATGTGGCAGCTGCAGGCCTCTGGGAGGGGCAGCTCCGCCCAGGTGGCCTTAGTGACGGACGTGTGGATCCAGGGAAGGCAGCCCAGCTGAAAGGAGAAGGAGGTGATGGTCCTGGGCATCAGAAGATGGGATTAATGGGCCGCATTAATGGGATCAGTCTGGCGCATCTCTGGAGCTCTTGAAGCAAAGCCAGGGTAACTGTTTGGTCCTGTAGATAGAATTTAGGCATCAGACAGTTGGTGGTGCAAGGGCTTTTCTGATCCCTTCCAGGCCCGAAAGTGTGGTTGTCTGTAATTTTACCAGTACCGGGCTGGAAAGGATAGGCTGGTTTCTTCCCTGCTCTCAGTGCTGGTCCCCAACTCAGTGCCTTTGATGCTGCACCTTAACCGTACTTTGAAACTCCATCTGATACAGTAGTTTACCTAAGTGTTTTGTTGTCTCATCCAAAATAGAAGTTATTTGAAAACAAGGATGGTGTTTATAAAAATAGACAGTTTCTGGGATTCTGGGAGCAGGAATAATGCTCCAGTTCCTCTGCTCCCACCCGTTGCCCCAGTTTCATGTCTCCTTACCCGCCTTTCTGCATCCAGGCATGCCCCACTATGGTGGTAGTAGTATTTCCAAAAATTGAATCCAGTACGGTGTGTCCTGGTTTCAAACTCTGATTTGTTCCCGTTACCTTTAGAAAATCCAGACTTCTGAGTCTGGCCTGTGGGACTCTTTGTGCCTTCATTCCCGCCAGGCTCTTCAGCCTCCTGTTGCCGCCCAGCGCTGCTGGTACCCGGCACTAAATCCCTTCACAACCCCTTGGTCGAGCTTCTTTCTTTCTTCCTCATTATGGTTTTCATTTGTATTTCCCTGGTAACTAATGATGAGCCTCTTTTTGTGTGTGCTCATTGGCCATTTGTATGTCTTCTAAGGAGAAATGTCTATTCAAGTTCTTTGTCCAGTTTTTCATTTGGCTATTTGTCTTCATATTACTGAGTTGTAATAGTTCTCCATATATTCTGGCTACCGGTCCCTTAATCAGATATATGGCTTGCGAGTATTTTCACCCATTTTGTGAATTGTCTTTTCACTTTCTTGATGGTGTCATTTTCAGCACAAAAGTTTCTTTCTTTTTTTTTTAAGCACAAAATTTTCTAATTTTGGTGAAGTCCAGTTTATCTCTTTTTCCTCTTTGTTCCTTGTGCTTTTGATGTCATATCTAAGAAATCATTGCCTAAGCCTGTGTTTTCTTCTGAGAGTTTTATAGTTTTAGCTCTTGGCTGTAGGCCTTTAATTTATTTTGAGTTAGTTTTTGTATGTGGTGGGAGGTTGGGGTCCAGCCTTTTTCTTTAGAAAGTGGTATCCAGTTTTCCTGGCACCATTTGTTGAAAAGACTTTCCCCTATGTTTGCTCTGTTCTTTCTAACTTCACTGCCTGGAGCCCTTCCCTCCCTTGGCCTCTCTGCTCCTTATCTTTTACATCAACTCTCAGCTCAGAAGTTACCTTTTCTAAGAAGCCTTCTCTGATCATCCTACTCTGTCTTCTAGAAGCGCCTTCATACCTTAATCCTAACACTTAACACTGCAATATTTTAACTCTTTCCCACTTGTCCTTTCAGCAAGCCCTTGGGAGATGGGGATTGTGTGCTAACATTTTGTGTTAATGAATATGTACCTAGGTATATTCAACTCCAGAGGGAGGGGAGATATTACTGAACCATGGTGTGGTGTCTCATCTCTGAACTCCGATTGAATAGAAAAGCCACAGTTAAATAACAGGCAATTCTTTGAGTATTTTCAGTAATGTACATTAAGTTTAATATCCCTTCAAGGAATAGGTCAGATAGTTTCTGTTCAACTCTCCTCATATCCACCAGTGGATAGTAGACAGGAAAAAAAAAGAATCTCGCCATCCCCTTTCCCCTAAACCATGAAAAAGGAGTCCTCCATTTAGGCTAATGGCGCCAGTTTCAAAACCTAAGTTCACTGTGGGACCAATAACAGTCTCTCAGGGCTGCCAGTGCCCTGCCCTGATTGGTTGCAGTGAGGATTCCTAACCAGTCCCTGACAAGGGGGATGGGAGTATCTGATGGGCAAGGTCAGCCTTCTAGGCCCCACTGCCTGCCTGGAGCAGGGCTGTTAGCTTCCTGCATAAAACTACGGTTCCCTAAGAAGAAGCGGGGAAATGGAGACCCAGTAGGCAGCCCACAGTGACTGCCACATCAACCCAATTCTAAAAGATGTCTAAAAGATTATTATTTTTTCCAGTCACAAAAGTAAGTGCAAAACTTCAGATAATACAGAAATGAATAAAGTCGAAAGTCCCCTGTAGTTTGTAGAGAAAGAGGAAAGAATCAGGGGCTAGTGATACAAGTCAAACGTGTTTGTGAAAGCCTTGGTCAGCTCACAAATGAATAAAGCAGAAAATGAAAGTCTGCTGTAACCGCGGTGGAATTAGGGGTGCTTTTTATCTTTTTACTTGAGACTTTTTTTATAGCTTTTTCACACTGTTGACACTGTCAGAATGCCCCACTTTTCACAGTGGTCCTGACAGGTTGTCCTGCTTCATTCCAGGCCGAGGGAGCAGTGTGTGCAGAAAGCATGTGCCCTCCAGGGCTTTGCAAACTAGGCGTACATCAAGAGTTGGATATCACTGAGGATTGGGGTGGGGAACAGCAGGATGGAAGACTGAAAATGAGCCAGGACCAAAGAGGGGGGAAAGGCCTTGAATGCCACACTCACCAGGTCCCAAATTTGATATCTGGTCATGTTTCATTAAAGCAAAATCAGAAACTCTCTCTCAAGTCCCCAGAGTAGAGGAAACGGCCACAGAAGCTGGCCGGTGTGGTCCTGGTGTTCTGAATGGCTGTGAGGTGGTTTGAGCTCTCTTCAAAGAAGACCCTGTCTCCAGGCTGTTGGTGGAGATTGGTCTTTACCACCAAGAGCGTGTAGACAGATCTGAATTGTTGTGGATGTAGGTTAGCAGAAGAGGGCCTCAAAGCCATGAGGCCCTGTTAGCTCTGCTGAGGATATTCAGCAGCTTGCCATGTTAGGGGGACCCTGCTGACCCTGTGGGAGTCTTGAGCATTGTCTGGTTGTGCTGGACCCGGCCTGTGTTAATACAGCAGCAGAAGTGTGGCCGTGGTGGTTGTGGATTTTGTCTTTTCTATTTAAAGATGCCCCCTAACGTGCCATTTCTTTAAAAAGACTAACAGTGGTCTCTGCCAGGATCTAGATACTTTGAAAGCGCATTTAGTAGATGTGAAATTGCATTTAAAAGATGTTGGAAGAGAGGCGAGGGTACATTCCTGTCAGTTTAGGTTTGGGCCACGTGGTCGCAACAGTTTGAACTAGGCCCTCTCTCTTCTCAGCTAAAAACCGCATACCACCCAGGGGACTGCATTTTATGCAGTGTAGTTAATTATGGCCAAATTTACTTCCCTCTGACTCTGCAGATCTACACTCACGTAGTCAAGGTAAGCAGAGCGACCTGGGCTGAGTTTTTAGTCCAGGCGCCTGTACCTCTAGACCAGTTCTTTCCTGTCCTCGGCGCCAGCCCTTTGCCCCAGACCGTCCTCGAATGTCAGAGATGAGGGAACTGAAGCTTTGACCTAGGGCTGGATGCTTTAGTCAAGGCTACACTGCTGGTTAATAGATCTAGAACTGGATGCAGCATCCAGGTTTTCTGATTGTTTTTTCCTAACCATTTACCATGACAAAGTATACGCACCATAAGATTTACTCCTCCTAAGCATACAGTTTGATAGCATCCGTGCGTTTACAGTTACACCCCCATCACCCCAGTCCAATTTTAGAACATTCCATCCTTCACCCAAGTGAGTTCCCTCACCCGTTGTAGTCTGTCCCCACCCTCAGCCACCAGTCCCCGGCCGCCCCTGACTGCTTGAGTTGTTACTGTGGTGTTCTTTCTGTGACTTGGTTATTCAGATTTTGCCCCGCTGGTAGCCAGGGGAAGGTTCCGGATGGCTAACTTGAACGTGAGTTCAGGGTGGCAGTAGCTTTGCCCGCGGTCGCTGTTCTGTGATGGTATCCATTCTTCACGTGACGTCTCGGGCACAGTGCAGAATGCGGGGGGCGGCGGAATGGGCCCGTGAGGAGGAGAGCAGGAGCGGCCTTTCACAGACCTAACTCATGCCCTCCGTTCACGTGGCCTGTGGCTGAGTCGGGCGCCCACCCCGGTTTGGTTAGTTCCAGCCCCCAAACTCTGCCTCAGCCTCAGTGCAGTGCCCTGTCCTGTATTTAAAGAAGGAAAAGAGAACGTTGCCTTTTACGAAGAATTATGCCATTTACTTATATTTCTGAGAAGTACTGTCCTAAAAGTTATGCAGTAGAAACGAAAGTGGAGACTTTGCCGAGGAGAATTACTTGGGTTTTTTTAAACACCCTTCAGTGAATTGTCACATGGTGGTTTCCCATGTCAAACGGCCACCTCACTGACAATTGGAACTACCAGCTGTCTGTTTATTCTTAGTTGTGGGCAGCCAGAAAGCTCAGCCTGGAAGGCTTGTAAAAACCGAAGCCCTCGTTTCCATGCCTTGGTTTGAGAGAAATGGGAGTTCCTGTATCTTTGCAAGAGTCTCTGGTTCTCTGCTCCCCCGTGGCCCTCACCCTGGATGGATGCCACCCAGACCCCTCCGTGTCCTTCCTCTCCGGCCTGCTTCGGCTTCCAGCGTTGGAGCTTTCTGCAGCAGGGGGAAGAGAAGGGTCACAGTCCTTTCTTTGTCATGGCTCCGCGAGGTGAGCTTCTCCTCCCCAGGCTTTCAAGGCATGGAGGAGTCAGGGGAGAGGCTGGACCAGCTTCTGGTTAGAAGAAACGCTCCCCGGGGCTTTCTCAGGGCTTGTTACATGTCTCTAAATGAGGTGAAACAGAAGGAGAAAAGGAATTGCTGTCGCCCTAGACGGTTCCAGTGGTGTTTCAAACACTCGTTCCCCCGGATCGATGTATTGCACCTCGCTGTGAGAGAGTCATGGTCAGAGGGTGATTACTAAGCCTTGTGCTCTGCTCCCAGCCTAGAAAATTAAGTGTGAAGCCTGAAATGGAGCTCTTTGCCAGAATGGAAATGGAATGAAATTTCCCTCCTTCCAAGTGAAACTTCTAAAGAGGAAATTTGGCAGCCCAGGAGAGCTGAGCCCAGGTTTCTGGCTCAATCACCTACTTGTCTTTCCAGTCATGCATCGATCCTGAAGCTGCTCTGGGTTCCTCCGGGCACTTCTCAGACGTTCATTTCTGTCCTAGGAGATCTGCAACACCAGATGCTTGACATGTCGTTCTATAGCGAAAGATTCAACCTCTTGTTCTATACGACTTGCTGTTCATAACCTTCAGCCCTCGGGTCTGGGGCAGACGTGTGTGGTGTGGGTGGCCTGTCTGCTCACCCTGCCCCCACTGATGGGGCAGTGAGTCTCTGCGGGCTGCAGAGTGACATGGGCTTGGCAGGCCTTCCGTTCTGGTGCTGCTCAGGGTCACGACTGGTCCTTGCGGGGCTTTCCCACTGATCTCTCACGAAGATACCGGTTCGTATTTAAACTCTTGTTCTCTGTGGTGGTGTTTGTGTGCTGCTCTGTGTAGACAGAGGCTGTGGTTTTAGGCGTTCGGGAAGTCATCAGACTGGGTTAGCACGCCAGCTCAGCCCTCTTAACTGGTTATGCCCCCTTGAGCCCACAAAGTGAAGAGACTAATGGCCATATTTTAAAGTGTGGGAGATTCGGTGACGGGAGACCGAGACCGTGACTGTGTATGGTGTCTGCAGCTTCATCTGTGCTCAGAGAGTATCGGTTCCTCTTTTCAGAAACGGGGCCACGTCCTCAAGATGCAGACAGTGTGCTCTTACCAGGTACTGATAACTCTTTGAAGCTGTAACTTAAAAAGGGAGGAGCAGGGGGCCTTCTGCTATAATAAGATAGGTGTTTTCCTACAAAAATATTCATTATTCAAAAACCAGACCATAAAAATAATAAAACTTTGAGGAAAAACATAGTTGGGGCGTACATTTAAAATAATATGTAACAATAATAATTCTCATTGTAGTGTAGACATGGTTTAAAAGACACATTCAGTCCTAAAAATAAATATCGCAGGAACTCTGGGACTTCATACACGCAGACACGCATGCATGGGTACGTGCACGTGTGCGAAGATAGCCTGGTGGGAGGACGGGGAAGGCAGGGCCAGCGCTGCTGAGTGTGGAGATCGGGGCAGAAAGCACAACGATGAGGGAGAACTGCTGGCCAAGCGGTTGTGAGCAGCATCTGGCCACACTGAGCCAGGAGGAAGCCTGGGGCAAGTGGGCCTTTGGACCGTGTCCCTCCGAGGGGCGCTGCATTCAGCTGGACCCCTGTACTTGGCCTACAGTGGTGGCCGTTCCTTGTGGAGGCAAAGCATTAATGTGCAGGGAAAATCGTATGCAAAACCGAGGCCACTCCTATGTTGACATGACATTGTGCCTGATTACATTTAGAATAACTTGCATTCCAGACTCTATGAAGCTCATTGCCCAACTGATAAATCCGCCTGTTTCTCATCCTGCTAGATAAGAACCTGAAATACGAAATTTTATTAAATTATGGTAAAAAAAAAAAAAGCAAAACACATAAAACTTACCATCTCAACTATATTTTAGTATGCAGTCTGGCCCTGTTAAGTGTATTCACATTGCTGTGAAACAGACTTCTAGCACTTTTACATCTTGCAGAACCGAAACTCTGGACCCATTAAACAGCATCTCCCCATTTGTCCCTGCCCCGCCCAGTCCCTGACAACCACCATTCTACTTTCTGTTTCTATGAATTTTAGTACTTTAGAGACTTTACATAAGTGCAGTCAGACAGTCCTTTTGTGACTGGCGTATTTCACTTAGTACAGTGTTCTCAGGTTCATCCATGTGGTAGCATGTGACGGGTTTTATAAAATGTGAGCGACTTCAAAGTACATATCTCACCCCAAATTTATTTGGAGAACAACCTTAGGCTAGGGGTAGGAGGTGGGGGTACAAAGACATGCTTTCCTTGTATAATGAAGTAAATATTCTTGTTGAGTTTATCTCCCTGGTTATTTCTTTACGTTTCTGAGCATCAGTTAGCTCTAAAAAAGCAGACATTTTATGCTGAAAGACAGGACTCAACAGGGAGCTCTATCAGACATCACAGGACACAGTGTCGTCTGTAAGAGGATATTTCTAATGCCTGAGAGTTTCTCCAACTCAGATTGGTGTGATTTCATTCCAGCGAGCTCAGAAATATGCTCAGCAAGTCTTGCAAAAGGAGTGCCGACCCAAGTTTGCGAAGAAGTTGATGACGCAGTTGTTTGAGCACAGGTACAACCCGGACTTACCGCCTTTCGTGAAGGAGGCCGCCAAAGTGAAGGAAGCCGAGTACAAGTACGATCCTCCTTTTGGATTCCGGAAGTTCTCCAGTCAAGTCCAGACCCTCTTGGAAATACTGCCTGAGCATGACCTGCCTGAACACTTGAGAGCCAAGAGCTGTAGGCGTTGTGTGGTTATCGGAAGCGGTGGAATACTCCACGGACTGGTGCTGGGCCATGCCCTGAACCAGTTCGATGTTGTGATAAGGTACATGGGTTCACCTCCAGAGTTTACCTCACTGCTGTTGGTCCTCGTTGAACCGGCAGCAGTGAGGGACACGGGGAGTGCCTGCAGGGGGCTTACTGCTTGAGATGTTGGAACAAAAACACGAAATGATTGGATGCCCCAAACTGTGCCACACTGACCCTAATTGCAGAGGAGGTGAGGTTTGGAAGGCTGGCTAGATTCAGGAGGAAGCCTGAGCTAGGCAGGACCAAGAGGCACACGTGGTGTTGGGGGGGCAGTGAGTTGGTGGGATGCCTGGTTTCCGGGAGCAGGGCTAGGTGTGGATGCGCCCCACAAGACAGGGCCGGCGGGGATCTAGGACGCACACAGCCTGAACTCCACTCATCCTAGAGTCTTTTTGGTTTCACTGGCTAAAAATTATTTTCCTTATAAAAGCAAAATATGTTCATTCTTGAAGATTAAAAAAATATAGAAAAATGTAAGGAAGAAAATAACCCCTCGGAGCCCAGATAACCAACTGCTATTAATTTGCTGTGTTTTTTCCACTTTTGTTCTATACACATACTAATGAGTGCATTTATATTCTTATCAAGTGTTTTGCTTTTTGAACATAATATTATGAACAGTTTCTGAGGCCATTAAATATTTCGTGGAAAATTAACTCTTCCAAGTGCTTAGCAGTCCTTTAAATGAGAGTATCATAAGTGATTTCTATAGTGTCCTTCTATTGCTGGATATTTTGAATTTTTCAGTTTCTTTGTTATTGTGAAAATGCCTTGCATATCTCATACTTATGACTTTATCTCTGATTATTTCCTTGGAAATAATTCTAAGAATCCTTAGAATTGTTGGCTTAAAGATATTCGATTGTTTTTAAGGCTCTTTAGGCATTTTAATCAATTCTCCCTATCAGAAGGAAGTGCAGAACCAGGAGTACAGCACGTGCTGGGTCTTCCATCACATCTGTTCAGCAGGAGTGTGTGAGTTTGACTGAAGGCGGGAGAGGCTAGAGCCGGGGACTGGGTTTTGAGGTTGTGGTCAGTGCATGCAGTGTGTGGGGACCTCAGAGGCGGAGAAAGTGGAAATGGAGACTAATGTGTTTCCAAGAGGTATATTGAGAAAGTAAATTACAGGACTTTCTGACAGCCTGACAGTTAACGTCGGAGGACACCAGGATTTCTAGTCTGGGGGTCTCAGACGTTAGTGGAACTGCTGTCAGAAATGGGAGTAGTTGGGGAAAATCTCAGGTTAGTGAGGGAGGATGACAAGATCCATTTCAGATATTTTGAGCCTAAACGTGATGTGTTCACATAATGCCTTTGTCCCCAGTCGCTGCGATCTCAGGCAAATTTCCTAACTCTCCTGTGCCTCCGTTTCCTCATCTGGAGGCAGTCACCGTACGCATCTTCTCGGCTTACCGTGAAGACAAAATGAGTTCACAGATGTAAAGCCCTTAGAACTTAGCGTAAAACATTTAGTGCCGGGCTTGGGGTAATTGCTCAATAAATGTTAGCACCTATTTTTGGAGAATGTGTAGGAAGGTGGGGGCTCAGGAGGAGGGGGCAGGGGGCGTAAGGGGTTTGTAGGAAAGAACCAGATTTTTGTAAGAGCCAAGAGAGAGAAGAAACAGGTTAAGAGCCTAGTTTAAAGGTAAAAGGGGTGCTGTGGGCCCCAGTGGCCAGAAAGCAGGAATGGTGCAAGGTGAAGGAGTAGGAGTGGGGTTGGGCTATGAGGACTGTAAAGGTTGGGGTGAAGGAGGCTATAACCACTGCCTTTCACGGGATGCTTTCCATGTGCCAGACACTGCGTCACGTGCTTTAGAGGTTCTCATTCCTCCGGGAAGCCACCTCTGTTGGTGTCACCAGTGAAGACGTTGAGGCCCTAGAGGGCCCAGGGTCCAGGCCAGATGCCAGCAGTCCAAATGCAGGGTCGGAGGCTTTCCGAATCTAAGCCTGGCCCCGTGTGAGCGGCTGAAAGATGTGTGCGCAGGCAGACGGGGCCCCGTGCCCATCTAACGGCACGTGACTGATACAGGAAGAGGAGCGGAGAGAAACCAGGGGTGCCAACAGTGCGCACTCTGGGCCAGAGGAGAGGTGGTGGGAGAGAAGGGGGGCCTTGCCGAACAGTGGCATTGGGCGCTCCAGGGAGGAGGCAGGCAGGGAGATCTCGGGTGTGGAGCCCTGCCCTATTGCAGGAGTGTCAGGAGCACGCTCTGGAGGCACACACACGAGTGTGTCTTTCCCCAGTGTCAGCTTTATTCAGTCACAAAGCAAAGTTAATCACGATTAGAAAGCAGGTTCACGATTCCAGACTCGATGATAATTCACGTGTGGTTAAACTTGGCTTCTTACACAGCACACAAAGCAGGAGAGAAGACAAACCACACAACAAACAAGCTAACAGAAGGGTGCAGGAAGTGAACGAACCAAACGCGAAGTCAGTCTGTGGGGTGCAGTTGAGATAAAGCCTCGGTCTGGTCCGCGTCGGCTCTCAGCACTTCCTGCTTCTGATGTTCCAGCAGCGAAGCCTCTTGGTTCTGCTCGGAGATCATTTGGGCAGAGCCTTCGGCGGCAGTTGCCTTTTACAAGTGGTCAGACATAGAGGGGTCAGGTCTGAGGAGTCTAACAGTTTGCTGCCAAAATCCTTCCCCTTTTAAAGGGATTTTATTGGTCTTGGGCCCCCGCAGACCTCCTCTGGTTCTGCTTGTTATCAATTCTGGGGGTCAGCTGATGCTGGTCTCTCCTAGCTGCAGTACCTTACGTGCTTGCGTCATTGCTTGACTCAGGCCCCTGCCTCACAGGAGAGATTCCATTTTGCTCACTACAAGGAGAGTGGGGCTGGGAGAGTGGGGAAGGGGCTGCAAGGTGGCCTGATGCCCAGTGG